TCCCCTCCCCTCCCCCCCCCCTCCCTGAGGGGATCCCGCCGAGGCCCCGGGCCCGCGCCACTCACGCGGCAGCTGTAGGCGTGGTCCCGCACGTGCGCCGCGTGCCGCGAGCGCGGGTGGCGCGCGTGGCCCCGCTCGCACACCAGCAGGTGCCGCGGCGCGCGCCCGAGCTGCGCCGGCAGCATCCCGAATCCCTCCCGCCCGCCTTCCTCCTCCTCCTCCTCCTCCTCTGCCGCCGACCGGAGCTGCCAGACGCGGAAGGCCGGGAAGGGGCCGTGCCGTGAGGTCACGTCCGCCGGCTCCGGCGGCGCAGCTGCTTCCGCTGTGGCGGCGGCGGCGGGGCGGCGGTGGCCGCTGTCGCCGGTGCCGTGCCCAGCGCTCTCGGTGCCTGCGGGGTGTGAGCAGCCCCGGCACGGATCGGACACCGGCCCCGCAGGGGCTGGGCGTGCATCTGCTGAGTGCGCGGTGGCTTAAGCAGGGCGGTGGTTCAGTGCCCGGAGGGAGCAGCCAGGCTGCAGACGGACCTTCTCCGAGAGCCTGGAGTGACAGGACAAGGGGCAATGGCTTCAAAGTGAGAGAGAATAGGGTTAGAATAGATACTAAGATTAAATTCTTTACTGTGAGGGAGATGAGGCACTGGAACAGGTTGCCCAGAGAAGCTGTAGATGCCTCATCCCTGGAAGTGTTCAAGGCCAGGTTGGATGGAGCAACCTGCTGTGGTGGAAGGTGTCCCTGCCCACGGTAGGGGTGATGGAAGCGGATGATCTTTCCCGTCCCTTCCAACCCAAACTACCCAGAAAGTTGCTTGGTGCCGTTTTAAGTTAAATTGGAAGCCACGAAGGCGGGGGACCGGCAAAAGAAACAGGAGCCAAAGCGGGACCCTGCCTGGGATGTGTTTTGTCGTCTCACCGCCCGGTCTGTACCTTTCGCACAAAGCATGCACAAAAATTCCGCCTTTTCCGCCTTCCTGCAGTGTTCCTTTTGCCGATCCCCTGGCTTCGTGGCTTCCAATTTAACTTACAATGGCACCAAGCAGCTCTCCGGGTAGTTTCTGTGCCCAGCACAGTCGCTAGTGCAGTTCTGTCTCGTTAGGCTGTCCCCCTTTGCTCCAGGGCATGATCCCAGCGCCCGTGTGCCGGAGGGACAGCGGGACACTGCTGCTGCTCCGAGCCCCGTGCTTCGTGCCCTGCATCGAGGTGGAGCCGCGCCTCGGCAGGTCACTAGCGTGAAGGAGGGCTGAATTCCGCAGTGCCTGTGTAAATCACATCGGCTGGATTCAGAAAAGGCTGTGTAATCACACTTCTAAGCATGCAAACGTTAATGGGGAAGGAGCTCCATGATTAATGCCAGCTATTATCACACCCGCGAGCAGAAGGCTCTGTGGGCAGACGAGCCTCGCAATGCGGCCATCAGAAAGCCTGTGCTACTAAAGGGGTGAAAAGTTCAGGCCTCTGATCAATAAGCCCACAGAGTCAGGCAGGAAATTTCAGCTATACTCAAAGCAGCATGTGGAGGGGTTTTTTATTGTTGGTTTGATTTGATCTTTTTGGCGGGGGGAACTGTTTTTGTGGGGTGCATTGGGGCTTTTTTGGAGCTTCTCTATGCTAATACAATTTATGCTTTCTTCAGGGGATACGAATGGATGGGAAGAGAATTGAGGAAAAAATATCTTGGGGAAGGGTCAAGAGAGTCAAGATTCATGGGTGCTTATTCAGTATTAAGTCAGTATTTTATGGATTCTGTCAGGAGTGTAGTTGGCTGCAGCACAGTGGAGCACTGAAGGATTCACATCACTGTTCAGTCAGTTTGGTTCATATGTCAGGCAATTAATTTTAACCCACCCTTAGTCATAGATATTGGCTGTCCTATTACAGAGCATGTGTGTTTTAGAGAACTCCCTGAAGATACTGACTACTTTTAAAAACCCGCTTAGAAGTCCAGTAGTCTGTGTTGTAACATACAGAATTTCCCTATCTCTAAATGAGACATAAATCATGTGTGTATATATATATATGTGTGTGTGTGTCTGTGTGTGTGTGTACTAATTGTTGGTTAATGCTGACATTTTTATAGTGGTTGTTACAGTTTTATGAGTAATTTGATATGGGATTTATTTATATTGTAAAAAAACAAACAAAAACCTCCAAAACAAAACAACAAAAAACAAAAAAACCCAAAACAAACCCCCAAACCTTTTAAACTTTTAATATTTTAAATAATTTAAGGTGTAAAGCTATCACAGTTTCCCCAAGGATTTCAAACCCGTGACAGGATAATGCAGTTTTACAGCAATTCAGTTTCTGCATGCTTAAAGACAGTTACAAGATATAGTAAAGAGGAATGGATTGCCTTGAGGCAACTTGTGGCAATAGGTTGGAATACAGAAAGATCTCTCTAATACTTCCTGGGACTTGTGAAATTTGATTCTGATTTTGTGTAAAATGACTGAGTTTGGAAAGAAAAGTCTGATCTTCACATTATGTACAATATCTTTTTGTGAAGCCCAGCTGCTTCTGGAATATACTTTTTTTTCACTATGGAAGAACAATCTTAAATGCTGGATTTTCTGATTTAAAAAAAACAACATTATTAAAATATTTAGAGTTTCATGAAATTAAATCTAAACAAGTATATGAAATCAAATCTAAACAAGTATTCATCACAGGCTTTTGATACTGATTTGTGTCTTTAAGATGAATCAAAGTATTTTTCTTTTCAGTAAATCCTCCCCTGTGTGGTTTCTGCACTAACATTAAATTCTGCCTCTTGTTGCACATTTAACCTCTCACAAGGGCCACGTTTCAAGCACTTATTTCTCCTGATTCAGGGATTGAAAAAAGAAATTTTTTCTTTCTTAAATAGTTTTGACTAGAGAAGGAAGGAAGTTGCCTAAATCTTTTAACCTTGCCTATTAGTACTTCACAAAACAGAAACAAATGGGTACCTCTGGCACAGTGTTCATCTAAAAATAATAAAATGCATGAGACTTGATATAAATAATAAAATGCAATTTACTTGATCAGCATCAACTGGTTATTTTTCATGGAGGAAAGTAGAAAGACGATCAAGATGTGGGCAGTTAGCTCAATACCCTGTTTTTTACACACTTTACATGTTCAGAGAGATGATGGACTCTAAAAAAGGTCCCGGTCAGACTTGTTCTTTAAGGGGCTTACAGACAAAGCTCTACCCAGCTACTTCCCAAAGCGGCCGTTCAAGCCAGGAAGATCAGTGGATGCTAACTGTGGATCAAGCTGTTAGATTTGGTTTAAAATGCCACTAAAACCCCCATCCAACCAACCATCTGATCTGTTTTTCTTAGAGCTAAGCCCTTGGTAATCTGGGAAACTTCCTACTCACTCAGTTTTGCGGTATTACAGTGGTAGAAGAAATGAGAGGGATAATTACTCCAAAAAGGTTCTGGAGAGCAAGAGTGTGTTCCATCTATATTCAAGCAGGGTCATCACCTCCACTTGCCTCCCAAGGATCAGATTTTGTCAGGGCCCTGCATGATACTGAGGAATTTTCATGCACTTTCTCTCTCCTAAACAAATCAATTGTCCTCCACATTATGGCTAATATGAGGCACATGTACTCTGTTTTCTATTCACAAGTCCTTGCAGCAGGTAACAAACTGTGGCCACGTCCCTCCAGTTGCCCCTTCACCTGCTGGGAAACATCCTAGGGAACACTTCCACACCCACCTCGACCTTCCATGGGCAATAAAGATGTCCTTCTCCTTGTTCCATAACAAACGGGGAAAATGCTGCATTTTCCATTGCTAAGGTCTCCTCTCCTGGCGTGACAGATAACAGGCACCATTTCCCCTCAAACTGAATAACCAATTAACACAATCGTGTTAAACTCATTGTAGCAGTTTTGTTCTCAATCTGTACATAATTTTCCCAGTTATATGAGCTGGTGTGCTTAAAGGATAGTAATTGTCCCACAATACAGAATAAATAAATTAAATGCAGAAATTGTCTCAATAATATCCTTAGAACATTTTATTTCTAGTAACAGTGCTAGGATTGCTGCAGATCACACTGTTACTTTAATACATCACCAGGAAGATACAGAATGCAAAGCAAAGAGAAAATATGACTAAGCATTCCTCCCTGTCCAGACCTTAAAAAAAACAAAAAAGGTAGCACAGAAATTTAAAAGTAAGGAGCACTTTCCCAAGATCAGTGCACAGTACTTCCTTCCTGTCACAGCTCAAGCTTCCAGACTGCTTCAAGGAGAGGATTTGCCATTCCCACCAATAAATTAGTAATATTTCTTGTACCTGTTACTGTTA